AGCACTATTTTTCTGACCGAACTGGACCGCAGGCATTTATGTGCCATGCGTTCCCATGCAGCCGCTTGCATTCCGGCCGGAGGGTGTGGCTACAGTGCCATTCACTTCAATGCACCAACACACCCCCTCCCGCCCCACAACAAAGTGAGCCTGCTGCAATGTGAGCCAGTGCATTCCGGCCAGAATCGCATTGCGCCTGGTGTGAACAAGCCCTCAATAGCACAAATTAGTTTTTGTAGTCAGCACAGAACAAATGGAAACATTTTGACAGGCCAGGATCAGGTCATGAAGGCAGTAAACTTCCCAAAAGAAGCTCATGTACTCAGGGCAGGTAATGACAAACTCACGTCTTTTGGTAGCCTTGAAAAACACAGACCTGCAAAATAGTGATCAGACAGTTTAGAAAACCTTGCCCAGTCAAGAGATGTCTGTACTAGAAAAGCAGCCTAACCTAAACTAAAGACACCTACAGACATGTAGTGACAGACGGACATGTCTATTGGTAGCCTTGAAATAATGATCAGACAAGTTAGAAAACCTTGTCCAGTCCACAGGGGTCTGCACTAAAAAAGCAGCTTGTGTTCTTTTAAACTGGTTAATCTAAAATGGGGCAAGAACAAACACTTCTACCTATTAGAGGTGCCTCTTATCAAACAATGGGGAATTCCCAGCTAGCTCAAAAGTAAATGTACTTCAATGAACAGAAGATTGGTCCAGTTGTGAATTGCATCCATCAGCATCCAAATAAAATATCCACCAAATAAGAGGTACAATACAATTCTAACCAAAATGGTGCATTGTTTTAATGCCTTACTGCCAGTTGGTTTTAAACAGGCTGAATATTTACAATGCCGCACAAATCGGGCTATGCAAAGTAATTTTCCCTCAACAGAAGGCTGTAGTCAGCGCCTTTCCCACTAAGGTGAGACAAATAGTTTTGTAATGATTTGTTGACAAAGTCTAATCAGGCATTTCACCATTCGCTCATTTAAATAGCCCATAAGCCTGTTTATCTTCATTTAAATAACCGAAGCAAAGCCTCAGCGCTGATTAATTCTCCATGAGCGACACAGAAATTAAACAGGTGCAGGATGGGCTGCTAAATCAAGCTGTCAGTACATCATTTAACTCTGCAGCCATCATCAATGTAGCACGTTTTAACCCTTAAATTGGTAGAGGAGAGTGTTATTTTGTGTTCAAAATGGTCTAATTTGTGGATGCTGTGCAGGAGCTGTAGAGTAAACTAGAGTCTAATGCTGGGCACACACCTTACAACCATCGCCAGACATTTGTCTTGCAATGGTTGTAAGATAATTAAAAACCGTAGGAGCTGCCTATCTTGGACAGGCAGATCGTACTTCCGATGATCGCAAGCCCGCCCCGCTGAGGGGCGGGCTTCCGATGACCGCAATGCTGAAAGGGCAGTGTGCGCTTGCGCACACCGGCCCGTGCGGCATTTATCTTACGAACATGCCATACACCTGCCGACAATCGTACGATCCTCGGCGGGTTTTCGAACATGTTCATAAGATAAAAGTCATGCGACCCCACAGTAGTAGAGGTCGCACGCCTTCCACACACCTTGCGATAATCGTAGGATCGCGGTACTTCCCGCGATTATCGTACAATTATCGCAAGGTGTGTGGGCACCCTAAGGCCCCATTCACACCTATGCGTATTGTAATATGCGCGTCTGTCGCGCGACCGTCACGCGTTTTTTTTACCGCGATTCCAAAGGCTACTTGGCAGTATCCAAATGGAAAACGCCCTACAAAACGGACCAATACGCAGCAAAAACGCTCCGGGACCTTTTCATGCGTTGGCCGTTTTGTAGTGCGTTCGGGACGGGCGGAAATACGGACAGGTGGGAACGATACCATTGACTACAATGCTATTTATTTTTTTGACCGTTTTGTAGAGCGTTCATCGAGCGTAGGACGCGCTACAAAACAGTCAGGTGTGAATGGGGCCTTAAAGCTAGCCAAACACCTTACAATTATCTGCAGATTTTCTATGGTCAGATGGAAAAGGTGCAACAGATTCCTCCATCTACACTTAACTGTGTGGATGGAGTAATCTCCACCTGGGCCAATCTGTTGCAATTTTTCCATCTGACCACAGAAAATCTGCAGATAATTGTAAGGTGTATGGGCATATTAGTAATAAGAAAAGTGGAGGTTATAAGGCTCCATTCACGCATGAGAGGTTTTCCGTGTGTACGAAACGCGCTAAGCATAAAAAACAATGCATCCCACTGTGCATTGTTCAGACTATTGCAGCATCTGGGTAGTAGGAAACTGTAAATCCCACAAAATAGTCCGAGCGCGACTTCAGGGGCAGATTCAGAGTGTTTGCGGCTATAGTAATAGCCACAAATACGCAGAATTCACACGTATGTAAAAAAACAAAATTGCGTGTTTTCGGGTCACATGGTTTTCCCGCGCAAAAAACGCAAACGCCATATTGGAGCCTTATTGGAGCCTTAGACCTCTTTTCAATGTTGGAGTAAAATGTTGATTGTGTAATTATTGTGTTGCATTTTTTTTTTTAAACAATTAGTCTCCGAGTTCCTCTTGAATCTGGAACTGTTTTTACTGGCGCCTGGATATCGAGATGCCACAGGACCTGTGGTTTTTCCTTAAAGTGACACTAAACTCAGGATTCAAATCTTTAAAAATGCATGAAAGTACCTTAATTATTAACAATACTGTACCTTATCTGTGCATCTGCAGATCCTCAAATCATCTCTGAATTGGTGCGGACACTGTCCTTCCTTTTGGAGGGTGGCTACTTTTGTTCCCCATGGTCCCCGCGTGTTATAAAGTAGTCACCACCCCAAGCTCACTCCCGTGATGGACTACAGTCTCACATTTAGTTTGCTAATTTGTATTGAGATTGTAGTCCATCACAGGGGCGAGCTTGGTCCAGGAGGCTGAAGAAGGGTGCACTGGTAGGTAAATGTGCCATTATGTGTAATTATGCTGTTCATACTAGAACATTATGTCAAGAGCCCCCTTGTACATTAGAGTACATTATGATCCTCCATTTTGCTGTGACCCGATTAAAGGAGAACATTAGGCAAAGCTTATACTGATCCCCTATTAGTCGTTCTTAACCGGTGGGTCCTGGCACCATATTTAGTGGGTCGCCGCATGCCTTCCACTGCACTAGAGGAGAGGCACCTCAGCCTCCCCCATAGCGTAGCACTGTCAGTTCCTGTGCTGACAGTCATTCAAAATATATTGCCTGGCGCAGAGTATCAGCTTGAGGTTGGGTGGGCTGGGGGTATGGCCGCGTGGGAGCTCCATCTAGACGTACATTTCTTACAGCTCCCTTACGTGTCCTGTAGAGGTGCCTGGACCAGAGTGACATCACATTCTGGCTCCCGGGACCTTTACAAGGAGTGTAAGGGAGCTGTAGAAGCAATGCACATATGGATAGAGCTTCATCACAGCAACCCACACTGAACCCCTAAAACGTTTTGAGGTGTGTGTATGTGTGTGTGAGAATGTCTGAGATTGTGTCCATCAGTGTTTTAATCGATGCGCAGGGCTTGTTAAGTTTAATGTGTACTTTGACAGCATTCACCAGAAATGAACCATAAAGAACAACCTGATCTCTTGGCCCCTTGCATTTCTGGACATCTCTGCCAAGACTCACTATCTATTAAGAGTATAATCCCGCCTTTCTCTTAGCAAAAGCACCAGGTACAGTACACACTTTATCTTCATTGATGAAGCAGGAAGTCAGCTTCCTGCACACTTAGGCCACTGCAGGGCAAGAAACCAAGAAGTAGTAACATAGGACACTATATCCGTGTAACAAAGCCTGAGTCAGTGCTTTTCTATGTGATGCTAAATCTGTTCATCTGTGTGGAACACTTTGTACAGGGAATGCTAGGATTCTTCACCATCCTAAAAAGGCAAAGAACTGTGATGACTACTTACTGAACAATGATGGCATTTATTGGCCATAAACCAGATATACATTAATACTTAGTTATAGTTAGTCAGGTTGGAAAAAAAAAAGGGGAACCCTAATCAGAACGCTATGCCCACAGCTACCCCCTGTTGATCGAGAGGAAGGCAAAAAAAACCCTATAAAGCATGGTTCAATTTGCTCCAACAGGGAAAAAAAAATTCCTTCCTGATCCCATAAGGCAAATCGGATATTCCCTGGATCAACAATCTCTGATGCCTAATATACCTGTAAGAATTCAATATCCAGTAATATTCTGTGTATTTCGCAATACATCCAGAATTTTTTTTAAAACAATTAACTGAGCTAGCTAGAACTACCTCCTGGGGGAGTCTATTCCACATTTTCACAGCTCTAACTGTGAAGAAGAATCCTTTCCGTATGCAAAAGGTTAAACCTCTTTTCCTCCAGACGCAAAGAGTGCCCCCTTGTCCTTTGCAGTGACCTTAACGTGAATAATTTGGCACCAAGCTCACTATATGGACCATTTATGTATTTATACATAGGGATCATATCCCCGCTTAATCACCGCTTCTCCAGAGAGAACACATTAAGGTCAGCTAATCTCTCCTCATAGCTGAGCTCCTTCATGCCTCTTATGAGTTTGGTCGCCCTTCACTGCCCTTTCTCCAGTTCCACAACATCCTTTTTGTGAACTGGTGCCCAAAACTGAACTGCATATTCCAGATGAGGTCTTACTAATGCTTTGTACAGGGGCAGGATGATGTCTCTATCTCTGGAGTCTAGACCCCGTATAATACAAGAAAGTATTTTGCTTGCTTTAGAAACTGCGGCTTGACATTGCATGCTATTATTGAGTCTATGATCTACCAGAACACCCAGATCTTTCTCCACCATTGACTCCCCCAAACATACTCCCCCTAGAGTGTATGACGCATGCATGTTTTTAGTCCCCAAGTGCAGAACTTTACATTTATCAACATTAAACCTCATTTGCCAAATAGATGCCCAATCACACAGAGCATTCAGATACGGTTTTATTTAAAAACAAAATGAATTACCTGTTTTGTACATCTTTCATGAGATGGTTCATGTCAACCTCTTGTTTTCTAAGGGCCCCAAAGGTAGAGGTGGTTTGTACACGACCAGAGCCAGCCGCATTGCCATGAAACGCTCCAAAATCAGCATCAACATTAGCCCGTATTACATCACCGTACGATCCCTGATACTTCACAAATTCAGACTCCACTACCACTGAAAGATAAAGTGATGGATACAGTGGGGTTTCATGCTAAATACAAACAGTACAATCTATTCACAGTCAGCACAGCAAGGAGGCTACAGGAGGCATTTCCAAAACAAAATACGGCACATCTATAAAGCATAGCAATGGGCTTCACAAAGGTGCACAGAGCTCCAGTGGCATTGAGACTCTAAAAACCAGCAGGGCCCTATTAATATGAATAGAAGTTTGAAGTGTAACTCCATGTTTGTTGAAAATAAAAACACTGGGTGATTAAAGGGTTGTTAAACACTCGCATGTTTCTGCAAAGATCTATTGCAAGCAAGCAGATAGATATATGCAAAGCAATAAAAAAAACAAAAAAAACAATTCTTCAGAAGGGTTAATACTTACCTGTGTCTTCACCGCACGCTCCCATCCGAACATCTGGAAATTTCTCGGGCCACAAAGGATCTTAGGGCGGGCAAATGCGCAGTTCAGATGTTTGCCGGGAGACGAGGAGAGACACAAGGTATGTCTATGGAGCAGCGTTTTACTGTACAGACTCCGTGGGACATCAGAGAAGAGGAGGACAGAAAAGTCAGCGCTGGATCGGAGACCTGCACCAGCGCTGGAGGGACAGCTAAAAACTGCGCTAATGAAGAAGATGATCAGATTAAGAGGCATCATTTAAGGTAAGTCCCTACAGCAGGATTGGGAAGGGGGAAAGAAAAAAAGTTTGATTTTAATGTCACTTTAAAGTACAGAGCAAGGATAAAAAACAAAAACAAAAAAAAACACCCCACTTGGTTGCAGACCTTTTTCTAAAAAAGAAAAATAGCCGTTTGTTTCACGATGCCCTTTCCAGACCGATTCCTGAATGGCAGGATCTGATTCATTATAACCACCTGGGGAAATCAGTGTTCTGATGAGGAAAGCGGCAGTGTCTGTATCCCTATAGAAGTAGGTAACCGTTGGGGAAGGGCTAGGTAAACTTTGCACTGTGGTGAAAATACAAATCCCATCATGCCTCTGCCTCCAGGAGCCATGCCTGTGGCATTTGTAAGAGTCTTGCAATGCCAACAGCTGGAGTGCCAAGGCTGCCTACCCCCGCTCCAGCTGTGGACTGCTCCTCAGCATCCTCATGTATAATGCAGAGCTGTATTGAACTTGATGACATCAGAAGCCCTTAGATTAGAACGAAGGGGAGAACAAACAGCGGAGACCGAGCAGTTAACCCCAGTAGCATGGGGACAGACAAACTGCAAGGGAATACTTTTCCCCGAAGCAGGAGTTGGGCCTTAAAGCAAGTCAAATGCAGGTCAGGAGCAGATCAGCTGCAGGTCAAATGCATGCGTCAATGAATTCTGGATGATCTCAGAAGTGTCTCAGACCAATGTCAATGACACAACTGTGAAGCCCGTCAGCACAGGCCCTTATAAAAAGAGAGTTCCACAAATTCTTGATTAACCTTCCTGGCGGTATTCCCGAGTGTGGCTTGGGATTAATTTTCAGTACCATAAGCGGTAACTCTGAGCCACACCAGGGATTACAGTTTAGCGTTACTTACCTTGCCCCTCGAGCCACGCTGGGTCCTCCGGCCGATGCCGGCATCTGTCTTCCGGCTTCCATCCTTTGCGAGCGTCCGTGGGGTGGAACCGGCGGGAATTTAAAATAAAAAAAAAAATAGAACAAAAAAAAAAAAAAAAGGAAATAATCAGACCGCCAGGGAGGTTAAACAAAATAATTTTTTTGTGCCTTTAAGTTTTATGAGGGCAGCATTTCAATATGACGTTTTGGCCTCAAACTAGCAAGAGGAAAGTTGAAAGCAAACCTATGAATGTATTGCTTTACTCAAGGAGTAGTGGATGCTTGGAACAGACTTCCAGCAGAAGTTGTGAGTCCATCAACAGTAAATGAACTTCTGACATGCGAAGTATAAACATAAAAGGTCTATCCTTACAATAGAAAACAATGGGGGGACTCGACAGACCACCAGGGTCTTTTTTGACCATCTCTCTGCTGCTATGTTTCTAGGAATTTCACATCTTTACATGCTTCCCCTCCCATAATATTGTTATTGTAATAAATACAAAGATCTGTAGGTTGGCCACTAGAGGGAGCAAGCAAACAATTAGAAACATTGTAACTTTAATACTAGTATGAATAATATTTCAGAAGAGGTAAAATGATTTCTAATCACTTACAATGGATGCTGCACCTTGATGTTTAAACATTTTAGTTTTCTGCAGAATCAGCTGGTCCTCTGAGCATCGACTCCAATATCCTGTTTTAGGGTGGTTCTTTTCCCTTGCAGGATCCTATGGAGCCACCCCTGTGTGTGCTAGTAAGCTGTGTCACAAACACACAGACACAGCAAGGCAAGACTACTTCCTTGCTCCCAGCCCTCTTCTTCTCCTTCCTCCCTTCTCCAAGCTTGTAGATGAATAGCTGCTGGAGACTGCTGTGTCCATTGTGATCTTGTACTGGACCGGAAGTTAAATGAAACAGAGGTGAGAGAGTTGGAGCCGTTTGGAAAATCCATATTGCTCCAATGAGGAGGGGATCCATGCACTGATCGGAAGAAATGTCACACCATATCCAGTGCGGTTTGAGCCCGGAAAGCACTAGATCGCTTCGATCAAGCCAGGCAGCATTCTGGGGCGGGAGGGGGCATGTTGGTGTCATTCATGACAACGGCAGCGCTGACACGCCCCCTGCCCGCAGTGTGATCGCTTGCACTGGAACGTGAGGTACAGGAATGCCCTCCGTTCCAGTGCAGTGTGAACAGGAAAAAATTGTGCATGCAGCATTTCTTCCGATCAGTGCATGGATCCCCTCCTCATCGGAGCAATACGGATTGGATGCCACCACTGACATCTGTGTCCAGTTTTTTCCTCCATGGAGGAAATAGCTAAAACTGCCGGACCCCATGTTAGGTCTATGGGGAGTCGGATGTAAAACGAACATCAGATTACCCCAATGTGGCACGATCAGGTCTGGTGAAACGGAACTCTGTTCGGTTTGTTTTTCTGGACCTGGTCGGAGTTGGGGTTAACCACATGTAAACGGACCACCATCCATTTACACCCAGCTGCCCATAGACTAGCATGAGGCATCCCATCAGGTCGGCTTGAAAAACCTGGCAGGCAGAACCGAGCGGCCCACCCGTGTGAAAGGGGCGTAAGAGCTGAACAGAATGTTGTAATTTCCATTTGACATTATATAAAGGGTGTAGTGTGATATTTAAATAAAACCTGGAGACGCTGAGAATTGACCCCAGGATCTCATACTTGCAAAATGTGTGCTCTACTACATCCCATCCCAGGGTATGTGAGTCAGACACTGACAGATAATCTTACACCTAAACCTGAACTGACTGGGTGAGGATCATAAGAGATCTTGTTTTGCATCCCACCCTGAAATAAATCACCTCACACGGCAGGTTCACATGTATGGTTTGTTGACACCCATCCTCAGACAGTGATTTTCACCCTCCAGGGTCTCATTTACCTGCATCTGTCATATGTAGCTACTTGACAAAACTTGGAGATGCCGGGGATCGAACCCGGGGCCTCATACATGCAAAGCATGCGCTCTACCACTGAGCTACATCCCCTGATGCATGACTTGCGTAGGAAAAAGAAACCTGAACTGACTGGGTGTAGTTAGGAAGGAACGCAGTCTAAGAATTCCTGTGTCACTCAAAAGGACAATAAAGAAGGCGGCTTGTCTAGCACAGCTCAACTCCACTATGCAGCTCCCACTGTGTGACTCGCCGGAAGGGTACAATGTACAATCGGAGTGATTACAGGGCAGAGGATGTATTCTTCCTGCCTGTGCAAGACTTCCATGCAGAATTATCTCAGGCAGAACATTGCAACTATGCAAAAATCCCTTGACTGGAGGTCAACTGCTCGTTTTTTAACCACTTCCAGCGGGTTCGCGTACATCCTCAGCTGGAAGTGGTGATACCAAGAACACGCTGGTGTGTGTGTGTGTGTGTGTGTGTGTCCGGTGCTTCCAGGGCTCCGCTGTCCTTCATGTGAGCCCGGGACCGGGCGTGGAGGGTCTCCCCTGATGGATCGGAGGAAAGATCAGCAGCTTCCAGCAGCTGAGCTCTCCTCCGATCACTGGACCCGGAAGTGATGTGCATTACATCACGTCCGGTGTCTCTGGGCGCATTCTCCGGCTCCTTGAACCAGAAGAAGGAGCTGGTGAAGCAGATCTCTGCTTCATCAGCTTCTTTGGGGTCCCTAGGTGACCTCTGATGTCGCCATAAAGAGGACCTGTCACATTATATTTGCTATTACATAGGGGGCTGATTGTAATAACAATAAAGCGGAGTGTAAAAAAAAAATTATCATATTAAAATTTAATAAAATTATATAATAAGTCAGATGCGCCTACGTGCAAAAACAAAAATTCCGCCACACGTTATATATCGTTGCGAGAGCCGGAATGAGAGCAATAATTCTAGGTCTATCAATCATTGTAAGCACTAAACTGATGAGCCGTATAAGCGTTGTCTATGGGAAATTTTGGTTATTGTAGTTTTTTTGCGGTTGCTGGAGATCTCTGCCAGTTATTCAGGAGCTGGCAGAGACCTGCGTCACATCTACACACACGGGAGATTCCCCTGCATACTTACAGATATATCCGGTTTCTGGCATCTGGGACCTTGCAGTGACCTGTGGCATCTGTGTGCATGCATGCCGAATACCAGGAAGAGTCCCGCAGCATGTTTGCGCATGTGCAGAATTTCACCACACACTGCCACCTGGGATGCTATGTGGCAATACTATTATAATAATAGGTTTTACAATTCTATTAAAAGGGAGACGGGAGGAACCAGAGCTAAATACCTTTTGAAAAGGGTGAAGATTGGCTTTCAGTGCCGGTTCACACCACAAAGTCTGCATTCCAAAGCGTTCAGCCTCTGGAATGGATGCTGGCCGGCTCCTTGTGTTCAGGGGCGGGAGTGGGCGTGACGGTGCATTGAAATCAATGGCACCGCAGCCACACACCCTGCTGTGAGCACTATCTTTGCAGATTGCACTGGACTGGAACACAGGCACTTATGTGCCATGCGTTCAGGTGATCGCACTGCAGGTGGGGGGCGTGGCCGCGGTGCTATTGACTTCAATGCACCACCACTCCCCCTCCCACCCATGAACGCAGGGAGCCAGCCGGCTTGCATTCCAGAGGCTGAACGCTCTCGAACGCAGTCTTTGTGGTGTGAACCGGCCCACCCATAAAAAAAAAAGAACTATGTCCAAAAAATTTTTTTTACCATTGGTTCTCTTAGGTCACAGGAGGACATTTACCAGTTTCCTCATGTGACCCAAAACTCAGCATATAGCAGGCATTAATTGTGGCTCTATAGTACAGGCATGGACAAATGAATATGGAATTTAGGAGCCAGTCTGTCCAATCCAGGAGCCAGCAGGATTTGTTTTCCCACTAACAAGAGAAATCCTCAAACGTTAGGTCCCAGCTGTCATTTTTAAGGAGCATTGGCTACCCGTCTCCAGGGATTTGTTCGGCCCGGCTGTAGTCAGATATGTCAGGAATTTATTCATGAAAACTTGTAAAGTATGTAGGTTTGCTTTAAGAGAGTCCAAGCACAGTGCCCTCAGGAATGACAGTAATATGACACATGGCAGCTGAACACATTTACAATCATAATGACAGTACAAAGGTCCCAGCAATGATGGTCATCAGCCACAGGGTACACAAGGCATATGATAGAAGAAATTATCTTTTGCAATGGCTGGTGACATCTCCTCGAATGAACCTTACCTGGTTTCACTGGTTTGTCATCCATCAGTACGTCACCCAGAAGGCACCCACATGCTGAAAAGTTGTACTTTGGTTTTTGCCACCACCAGAATCGGTTCTTCTTGACCACCACGCTGAGAAGCTGGGCCTTAGCAGAGTCATTTAGACTACAGACCGGTATCAGCTCACCCCCCGCGTCGATTTCTTTAAGGAAAGTCCTTGAGGCTTTGCAAAACATCTTCACTGATCAAACACCTACAAACAGAAATAGATCTGTATCAGTTCACACAGGTATTATCCATTGGAAATGAAGGATTCGTTCCGGGATATTCTTGTTGTATAAATTGTTTTTATTAGGCTTCATTTTTCTCAATTTTAGACAAAAATGTCAAGAATTGGAAATTTAGGGTTCAGAACTGTGTTGCGATATTGGATGTTTTCAGACACAAATAGATTTGCAATAGATTTGCAATTTGCAATACAAATCTAAGTAAAATTAGACTTCAGGGTTAATGACCTTCTCCTCTCCCTCATGTAACACAGTTTGGGACTGACAATTGGGTGAGAAAACTGGCCGTGCAGCTAAAGCTAGGTTCACTCTGGCAGCAATCATGCACGAAGCCGCGCGGTCATGGGATCACACACCACCGTTGATCGAGCTGGCAGTGCCATTATTTTTTAACTGGGGTACCATTATTTTGAATGGCACCCCAGTCACATTGTGTGGTTTCCCACCGTGATACCACCTGTGCAATTGCTCACAATAGAAGTTGGGGGGGCACACCCCACCCACAACAACACACATGTACCTTTTTTCAGCGATTGCCGTGTGGATATAACCCCATTGAAATCAATGACTGCACGATCCTGGGACGATCGCCGATATGTGAACCTAGCCTCAAACTTTGGCTGATTCTTGCTAAATCAGCCGATATTCGAGTTGTACGTGGCCCTGTCAGCTCCCAGCTCAACAAAAGTCAATCGACTTTTGTGAAAAGGAGCTCACCTGATAATTCTCAGCCAAACAGCACCTGCATCCAATCACAAGCCCTAATGTCACCTAGGACCCCCCAAAAGAAGCTGATGAAGCAGAGATCTGCTCCATCAGCTTCTTTCCAGCATCTGAAGCTGGAGAGTGACACAAGAATGCTGAAGTGATGTATTATACGAGGAGAGGGGACCGGAGGGAGCTCCATAAAGAGGACCTGTCACCTCTCTATTTACCCGACTTGACCCGATCTTTTATATTTTACCAAAAAACTGGGAATAAAATGTTTCCTAACATAATGTTAAAAAAAACTTTTTTTTTAATTTTTTCAACATTTTCTGTAATTTTTCCTAATTATAGTAAAAAATAAAACCCGGTGAATAAATACCACCAAAAGAAAGTCCTATCTGTCCCCAAAAAATGGTATAAAATTCATTTCAGTACAGCGTTGCATGACGGAATAAACGTCAGTCAAAGTACCGCAGCGCTGAATACTGAAAAATGGCCTGGCCAGGAAGGGGGTCTAAACACCTGGTCTTGAAGTGGTAATGTCACTTTAAAGAAAATAACCTTGGGGTACCACACGCGATCTGCCTGGCACCTCAGAACACTGTCTGTCCTCACAAAGGGTTAGAGACTTAGTAGCATTGTATGTTAATGAGAGGAAGCTCAGTCAGTCTGTCCCTGATTTTGTGCCTCCAGAGTGCTCAAAGTAGCCTGGAATCTGCACAAAGACCTTCACCAAGGAAATATCTAGGTAACAAATATTTTTGTAGAAAACATATTTGTAGGTATGCTGTGTGAATAGGAACAACAAACATATAGCTGGGCTTTAAAGAAGAACTCCAACACACTTTGCCAACAGACGGACTTTGCGATACAGGTTGATTACCGCTTGCGGCCAGGAATGGCGCGGGTCTGGTTTCTGGTATACGAGTTGCCACTCCATTTGTACTATACGGAAGTACAGGTCATTTACACGCCGCCTGTGACCGGCAGGTTTCTTCGTTTTAAACTGTGAGTGTATACTACTTTTTTTAATAAATGTCAATTCGTTACCATACTATGAGGAGTTTCCTTTTTTAATTTTCGATAGTCAACGACCCATTGGACACCGCTGGGAGTGCCGCTGAGACCGCATTTCTATTGCCTAAAGTCAACCACAGTGTGGCGAGTGCGCACCCCAGAGGGGAGAATGTCGTGAACACGAACACAGGGTGTGAATAAAGGATTTTTTCAAACACTTTTTGGATTATTGTCATCAATTAGAAAACTTTAGATTTGGACACACTATATCACTCATTTTTTGTTGCACTTCCTTATGGACTATTAATTTGGGATCATTTTGATGCACTTCATTTATTATTCATCACGTTTGATGTTATTTAGCACAAGGCGTTTATATCCACATTAAAATTGTGTTAAATATTGTGGGATATATGCATTGATATATAGATTGTATGCACGTTTGCACTGAATAGAGACTCTGCACCTTAGATTTCACGAGCTGCCACCAGGATAAGTACACTGGCAGTTTATTCATTAGAGGCTTTTTAATGCTCACTATTTAATACCCAGATAGGTACAGTCCATTGATTGGTGACCCTGAGCGCTGCACATTTACTATATCCATTCATTATTAATGGGCTTCTTAAGGTAACTTCTAATAAAACAACTGGGCAACATTTTATTAACCCTTGCAGTGGTGCTACCCCCCGCATTGCACACGTTAACTGCTCGTTTGTCTAGGTCTAGTTATACTCACCCAATCAGATCATTGGAGCCGGCTTGTTCTTAAGGTCCCCACACACTTTGCGATAATCGTGGGAAATCCCGCGATCGTACGATTATCGTAAGGTGTGTGGAAGCCGTGCGACCTCTGCTACTGTAAGGTCGCACGACTTTTAACTTACGAACATGTTCGAAAACCCGCCGAGCATCGTACGATGTTAGGCGGGTGTGTAGCGTGTTCGTAAGATAAAAGCCAGACGCAAGCGCACACTGCCCGTTCGGCATTGCGGTCATCGGAAGCCCGCCCCTCAGCGGGGCGGGCTTGCGATCATCGCAAGTACGATCTGCCTGTCCAAGATAGGCAGATCGTACGGTTTGTTAAGTACCTTACAACCATCGCAAGACAAAAGTCTTGCGATGGTTGTAAGGTGTGTGCCCAGCATTAGACAGGACTCTAGAATCTCTCTTCCCCACCTCAGCAGCGATCTAAGAATCCTTGTGTCATCACATTCTACACAAGTGTATAGATGGGCGGACGCCGAGGAACATTCCTTCTGTGGAGACACGCTTCAGTGACTGGAGAAGCAGGGAGCCCGCTCGGCAGTTCAGCTGAACATAATATTTTTTAGCACCTAGAAATGAGCAGTTAACCCTTGCAGTGTGGGGGGCAGCCCCAAAGCAAGGGTTACTAAAATGTTTCCTCAGAGTTCTTCTTTAAGGTTTGAACACTGAATTTTGATAGGGAGTGCAGTCAGCGGTTTGGATAAAAGTTTTTATTTCTTGGTACAGTTTTCTAGAAATAACGCACGCAAGTACGCACGCACACGTGTCACATCTGCTAATATGTAAACACATCATCATTGAGATGTTATTGCTGGAAAGCTGGAATGAAGGGCTTCTGCTAGATTTCCTTATCTGTTTGTACCACAATGAGATCATTTCTGTCTTGTAAAACAAACTGTAAAAACTGAGAAATACCCGACACACCCTGAAACGTGTCAGAAGCTGAAGATTCTTCAACCGGAGTAACTCTGCAAGAGAGCGAAGATCGGGGGCACGGGTGACCAAATGGGTCTATTTTTTTTTCAAAGGGTGCTTTTTTTGGGGGGGCGAACCTCGGAGGCGGCTGGCTGTTACAGCGCTCCCTCCCGCCTGTCTCCTCCAATGCTCCAACGATAGAATGTTCCTTGGCATCCTCACGGCCCATGCACTGTTTATTGAATGGGATGACTCAAGGATCCATAGATTGCTGGAGCGGAGGCGGAGAGAGGCTGCAGGGACAGGTGTAACAGTCAGCTGTGAGCGTCAGGCCCTACTTGGCAAAGGCCAAGACATTTTTTTCCTGGAGCTCTTCTTTACCATTATTAGCTATTGTAGTGGAATTATTTATATGAACTCATATACTTCATGATGTTCAGATCCGCATATACATTATTATTAATATTATGCAATATAAAAGGTTATTTAGTCCTACAAATTGAGCAGCTTTATACAGACATGAACTTTAAACAGATGAACCCTAAAGGGCTTGTTCACACCCATTGCGGTGCGTTCCAGAGCGGTAGATGCTGGAACGCACCGCCATCGCTCACAAAACTTCCCCCTGCGCTTTATACGATCGATGCATCCAGGGATAATGATTGATTCCTAACCGCATGTGATCATATCACATACCATTACATGCGGTGTACAGGGTAAAGGTGCCCATACACTGCACAATTCTCGTACGAGAATTGCGGGAAATCCCGCGATCGTACGAGAATCGTGCAGTTTATGGAAGGCGTGCGACCGTTTCTACTGTACGGTCGCATGTCTTCCGTCGAACAAGCAGGCTGGAAAACCCACCGGGAATCGTACGATTCTCGGCGAGTTAGTGGCCTGCTTGTTCGACAACTGCCGAACGGGCCGGTGTGCGCACGCGTACACTGCCCGTTTGCAGTCATCGGAAGCCCGCCCCTCACTGTGGTCATCGGAAGCCTGCCCCTCATTGCAGTCATCGCAAGCACGCCCCTCAGGGGGGCGGGCATGCGATGATCGCAAGTATGATCTGCCTGTCGTACGTTTTTTTAAGTACTTTACAACCCTCACAAGACAAAAGTCTTGCGAGGGTTGTAAAGTGTATGGCCACCTTTACATGCTGCGGCCGTCACCTGATCATGAACTTGAATGCGTGACAGCTGCTGCTTCCGCCCCCCGCTCTTAGACCGCTCCCTGGAGCCTCTCTCCCCCTCCGCTGCAGTAGTCTAAGGATCCTTGAGTCATCATGTCCTATACGCTGGTCATAGGATGCGAGGACGCTGAGGGAGATACAATCATTACAGCGAAGGAGAAGGGCTGGAGGGAGCGCTGTGACAGCTGGACGACTCTGAGGTTTGTGCGCGTAGAACTTTTTGTTATTTAAGTCCCTGGATGAAAACGAGCAGTTACCCTGTGCAGTGCGGGGGTAGCACCACAGCAAGGGTTAATAACAGTTTGTTGTTTAACATGCGTTGCATTAAGAAGCCCATTAATAATGCATGGAGTGACAACACT